CCATAGGCTTCCGGCTGAGGCGAGGGAAGAAGGTTTTGCCCTAATCGTCTTGCGAGAGGGAAAGGAAAACTAAAATTGTTCTTGTTTCATCATAAACCCATTGCTATAGCTCATCTCATGGCATAATGCATTTTTGATCAGGACTTTTATTCCTGGGGCACAAGGGAGATTGACAAGAAGAATTTTTCTTGGAATTATCAAGAGAACTTAGAAGGTTTTTTTTACCTGTGTTAGATCATTGTTCAGCCCATTCGACGACCAGAGTGATGAATTGTCGAGAGAGCTTCATTGTTCAGCCCATTCGACGACCCATTGACGGCCCGCTAGCAAGAAAACCGAAGCCCCGAGCCCGTCATAGTCGTAGGCTTCAATCCCCTTCCTCCTCGCTCGACGGCACCACTGGCGCCATCTTCCGCCGCCATGTCCATGCCGGCGGATCGTTCTCGCCCCGCGGGAGTAAGTCCAGTGTTGGAAATGAACCAAACCTAGTAGCGTACTAGTATGATACAGCAGTAAATTAGGAGTAGTATAGCTATTAGCCGTGTCCTGTCCTGGTAGCACAAGTTGTAATCACTAATCATCTCGTCTAGGTTATGTCATCCGAGTATATCATGAAGTCCTTTGTCAAGTGGCGTTGGGCCTGCTCCCAAGTGTGTATATAAAGTACATAAGAGCTGCAGTTTTCTATGTATAGAACCTGTGGATTTGCGAAGAAGTAAATGAAAAAGAAGGGTGCGCCACGTGCCCTTGGCAAAGTTTTTCGTGCGCGTGTGTTCTGCTACTTTGACGTGATCTTTCGTGAGGGTGAAAACCAACACGTGTTTCAAGTCGTATCCAGTACGCAGAGCAGCAGTATAAACCATCGCCAACTCCTTCACCGATCCCCTGGCCTGACCTCTTCTCTTTGTTTGTGCATATCTTCCTCTCTTCCCCACGGGGGCATGACGGCAGAGGGACTCTCCGACGACCTGCTTGTTGAGATACTCTCGCGCGTCCCTGTGAGGTCGGTGTACCGCTTCAAGTGCGTCTCCAAGCACTGGCTCAGCCTCGTCGACAACCCCGATAACCGCAGGAAGCTCCCTCAAACTCTAGCTAGCTTCTTCTACACTAGGAGCGACAAAGGGGATTTGTCTCTAGAAATAGAAGTTTGCTTCGCCAGTGTCTTGGGGAAAGCTGCCCTCCGATCGACACCTCTTTCACCTTTATTCCCAACCACGGGCGCATCGATCTATTGGACTGCTGCAATGGCCTCCTCCTCTGTCGCTGTTGCATGTCTCCGCTCTGGGTGATGAGTTCTGTTACATCGTGTGCAACCCTCTCACAGAGGAGTGGGTTTTGTTGCCCGATCGCATCTATGTTAGCAAGGTGGGCATAGTGTGTCTGTGTTTCGATCCGGCCGTGTCTTCCCACTTCTACTCGCTCCGTTCCTAAATGTAAGTCTTTTTAGAGATTCCACTACAAACTACATACAGATGTATATAGACATATTCTAGAGTGTAGGTTCACTTATTTTGCTCCGTATGTAGTCCATAGTGAAATCTCTAAAAAGACTTATATTTAGGAACGGAGGGAGTATGTGTTTGTGTTGCTAGAGGATGTTGACTTTAATTTCTACCTTGGTAGAGCGGAGGTGTATTCGTTAGAAACCAGGAGATGGGATCATAAGGAAGACAGATGGGGTGAAAATATGGAGCTTCTTACTCCTTGGTCGGCTGATGTCTTCCTCAACGGCTGGTTGCATTTTCAAGCCTATGGCAAAAGGTCATCTCATTGTCTAGGTGTGGAGGACATGGAGGGGGAAACATGAGCGAATATCGGTATCCCTGGTCATCTATATGATGGTTTTATTCAGCAGTCATAGGGTCGCCTGCATTATGCCAATTTTGAGAAAAACCACCATTGTGATGTGGTTCGACTAGTTGTCTATGTTCTCAAGGACTATGACAGCAAAGAATGGATATTGAAGCATAGTGCTGAAATTTCATACTTATTTGGAGGGACAAATGTTACTGATTCCGATCAGTTTGCTATCCATCCGGTTGATTCCCATAGGATTGCATTTCATCCGGAATGTAACTTGATCTTCACTGTGAGGTCAGCTTCCACATTAATGTGCTACGATACGATATGGATCATCCACAAGTCAAAGTGGTCTGCCATATGCGCCTTGGTATGCTAATCTTTTGGCCACGTCTCCCATATGTGCCATTGTATGCAGATTTATCACCGCACACATGATCTCAATATGAAATTGTTGTTGTCTTTATAAGAAATGGGTCTCTTATAGGAATGGATTGTTCATGCACTACTGAAAAATTCGTATACGCCGGGTGTCAGGGTCTTCGCTGAGAGCCAAACCACGGACACTCGGCAAAGTAAGAGACGCCGAGTGTGACTCTCAGCAAAGGGAGCATCTTGGCAAACACATGTTAATGCCGAGAGTAGGCCTCGGCAAAAAGGCAACCCTCGGCAAAGGAACTATTTGCCGAGGGCTAAGTGGCCACCACACGGCAAAGTTTTGCCACGTGGCACATCCGGCGGCGAATAACGGCACGTTCATGGTTGCAACTCTTTGCCGAGAGTGGCTCTCGGCAAAGATTTAGTCCCACCTCGCCTACCGACAAGCATAAAGACCTGTTTAAATAGTTCAATAGTCCAATCGCATTAAGCATCAGTCCTCATTAATAAGAATACGTATTATCACTATGAATCTTCATGTTCCGGACAAAGAAAATTCATATTGATAGTCTGTATTCTAAAGAATGGATGTTGGTGTTTTTCATAACTTTATGATCAAAGCACACCTTTACCGAGAGCAACTCTCTGCAGAGTAAGAGTTACCAAGAGGAGCTCTTAGTAAAGACAAGCAACATGACCTCTTTAAATAGTCGGATAGTCCAGATGTAGCAACATGACCTATTTAATTAGGCGAAGGTACCTCGGTGATATACAATTATGAATATGTATTAATTTTATGATCCAACAGTATCTGTACCGAGAGCTCCTCTCGGTAAAGGAACAGTTGCCGAGAGTAGCTCTCGGTAAAGATAAGGCTACCATCAAAGTTTAGTCCCACCTCACCTAGAGACAAGCAACATAACATGTTTAAATAGTGGGATAGTTCAGATGCAGTAAGATTCGGTATTCATTACACTCTTATTAAGGAGATGAACTATCAGTATGAATGTTCACCCGTTTCGGGCAGAGAAGATTCAATGTGATAGATCATCT